TCTACCCATTGATAGCTTGATAGCACCCCACCATATACATCTACAATCATTCTCAATATCCAAGCCTGTGTTTCGGTTAAGTGCGTCATCAGAATCAGTATTCAAATGTATAAAAAAAGATTTACTTCAAAGAACTCGGCCATAAAAAATGAAATTTGAATAATTTATTTATTTTCAAATTGCATGTGGTTTTATAACATCTAATTGCTATGCGCATCGGTGAAGCGTGGTATTTGAAAATCCCTTTCTTTTACTCCCCGTTGAATGCACAGGTAATAAAACCATATACAATTTGCAAATAAAGAAATATTAAAAAAAACTATTTATGTATTACTAAAATTTATTTATTATTAATATTATATGTAAACGGCTATCTCGTAACGTTAACTTCCATATTATACGGTGATTCATCTGAATGCCTAATACACATGACGGAAATATTTACGCACATCCTTATTTGCCTAGCCTGGATTTGGTCGGATAGAGTAAGAATCCGAAGCAGTATTTCAAGAAAAATATAAACAGATAACTTTTTATTGCATTTAAACAAAGTGGAGAAGTGTGGAAAGAATTTACAGTCCACCTTATATTGGCTACTGCAGTCTAAAATAAAGAAAGCTACAGATTGTTGTGAACTCGTAAAAAGTCCACTGGTGGACGTAATCCGCTCTCATAGAAGGACTCTTTTCCATTTGAGTGACGACTTCTACAATTTCTTAATCTAGTCTATGAGCCACAGCATCCACTTACTTAGCTTAGCTTAGCAATGAGTTGTTCCCCGCCGAACGGGTTCCCGCCTTGTCGTGGCGGGGGGGCTTAGTAGCCGTGGCTTGGTCACCTGCGGTGAACTAAGAGGAACCCCTGGGTTGGCCCGTGGTGTAGGGCCGGCCCGAGGTGGCCGCTCCGAGTGGGCTTGGGAAGCCCACTCCGGATGTGTGTCGGTGGGCTGCGGTGAGAGGGGTGTCCGCACCCTCTACCGCTGCAGCCGAGGTGGAGTCGCGGAGGAAGAAGAGTGTTGGTATGGCGATGCGCCACTCGCCCTATCCTCCGCGACTCAGACGGGGCCGCACCGTTGAATGATGCGGTGGTGGTGGGGCTGCGGGGGGAGAGGAGTGTCGGTATTGCGAGGCGCCGCTCTCCCTACCCTCCGCAGCTGAATCTTGGTTGGCGGCGGAGCCATAGACCAGATCCGTCGCTGGGGTCAGGAAGGCTGGTGCTTCTGAGTGCTAGTTTTTCCTGGCCCCATGGCCTCCGCGTATCGGACGCGGGGGGGTCCGATACGCAGGTGGAGTTGGAGGCTGTGGAGGGGGGTGGCTGAACACCTCGCTGCCCCGTGCAGGAGACGAGGCCCAGACAGATCGGGCCAGCACTAGTGTGGGGCTGCGGAAGAATTTGGATTCCCGCGGCCCTGCACGCACGTGCGAGGAGGAACCGTGGGGTTTTAGCCGGTAGGAGTCCGGCATAACCTTCCGGTTGCCCCCGCGGTCGGAGGTATCCATGGGGATTTCCCCAAGTAAAAAAAAAAAAAGCAATGAGTTGTTGCGCTGGGGGCCGCGGGTTCGAATCCCGCTCGTAACAAGTACTCGTATTTGTATCGCCTACAAATAATTGTTACGGGTCTGGATGTTTGTCCTCGTGCAATTTATGTTTGTAAACTGCCTACACACACAGGAGAAAATACTAGTATGGGGTAACGTTTCAAAAAAAATTGTGTATAAAATCCCAAACAATGACGCTACGCGGTAGAGCCGGGCTGCAGCTATGCTATGACCAGGGAAGGACCACTGCTCTCACAGAATACCAGCGTGAAATAGCAGATTAATGCTGCAGTTATCATATGGTTAGCGTAGAGAACGGGACACCCTTTTTACTGGAAACGAGGCATTACATATTAGTCCTCAGTTGTAACAACGCATCAGCATTTTGATTCTTAATCGAGGATAGATGTAGATGTATATGGGCCACAGTATCCACTTACCAGTAGGTGGACTGTGTACCACTTTGTCACCATTATTCCATAAAAAAAACTAAGTTGTTGCTTGCATGTGACATTCTTACTTCTAACTGACACGCACATCGGTAGAGCGGGGTGTTTGACAATACTGTCACCGCCAGGTAAAGTTATTTCTATATGTTTGAATACTTATTTGTGATAAAGCACTGACCGGGAACTACGGGGTTTTTTACACGTTGTATATGACTGAATGTTAATTAAAAATTAAATAACACGAGACTTGGTATTCGTTCATTTATTATAAATGTTTACCAGCAATTGTAACATAATTAAATTTTGCATATTTTTTTTAATTCACTCGACTGGCTGACTGCTACTAATAGATAAGAAAAATGAGCCTCTTGCTTTATCTTAAAAAAAAAACGTAATCTCCACACTAGGATTTTCTCCTGTACCGTGGAAGCAGTTTATATACATATTCACAAAGACAAACATCCAGACCCAAACAACAATTATTTGTAGGCCTATTCCGTGCTAGATTCGAACTCGCGGCTCTTAGCGTTGCAACCAATTACTAAGCCACTGCGCCACGGAACCGTCGTCTTAATATCATTTATTTATTATAGTCTATCAAACGTTCACTTCTAAACAAAAGCAATGTGTTGGCGGAATGCTTGGCACAGTTGCTGCGTCAGACAGGCAAGTTGGAAGTCGCAGATATTTATTATTTTAAGCTGCTATTAGGTACATCATCCTCATCATAATCATTACAGCCATTCACAAGTCCACTGCTGAACATAGGCCTCCCCCAAGGAATGCCACAAATCATGGTCCTGAGCCACCTGCATCCATCGACTTACCAGGTCATCACTCCATCTAGTGGGTGGACGCCCTACACTTCGTCCTTTGGTACGAGGTCGCCACTTGAGAACCTTTTTTTCCCCATCGGTTGTTGTTTCTTCGAGCTACATGGCAGACCCATTGCAACTTCAGCTTACTAATCCGTTGGGCTATGTGGATCACTCTGGTAGGTACATGCTACTACATATATTCTGTTTCACCATTTGTCGCCTCTTACGAAACTCAAAGCATGATATGGGGTAGTGGATCCCCTCACGCCAGCATTACGCGGGTAAACCCTTATATTAAAAGTAAATTAGAAGCGATAGCTTAAGCGACACTAATGTGTCGGACCACACCTTACATAGCCATACTGGAAGTGGTATACACAACGTTACTAGAATTCTTTAATTTTAAAAAATACAGTCGATTTCTTTAATAAATTTAAGTGTGGCAATGGCATGTATGTCGCCATTTCTTTTACAAAATAGAATAACATAATAGTAAATGAATATTGGTGTTTAAACATCTACATTCATCCTCGATTAAGAATCAAAATGCTGATGTAAAACCAACCCTGAGGATCAAGATAGAATGCCTCGTTTCTAGCAAAACGTGGTAGTTTTACGTGGTAGAGCCATGCTGCAGTTATATTAGTAGTATAGTTGTAGCACGAATGGGTCGGTTCGACCAGGGAAGGACCACGCTCTCACAGAATACCAGCGTAAAATAGCAGTTTAACGCTGCTGTGTTTCGTATGGTGAGTGTAGAGAACCGAAGGCCCTTTTTACTGGAAAAGAGGCATTCCATCATTGTCCTCACGAGTGACAACGCATCTGCATTTTGATTCTTTATTGAGGATAGATATGGATGTATATGGGTCACAGCAATCACTTACCATCAGGTGGACTGTGTGCTCGTTTGTAACCCTATCCTATAAAAAAAAAAGAATCTCTATTTTTCGGTAAAAGAAGTAGCAAACTGTTTTATATTCTCGTATTAATTAGGCTAAACTAAAGTCAATTAACCGAAAGAATATTTTTTTTAATTTATACATTTGTATTTTCTAATTGGAAATACAAAGTAGGTTTAACCGGTTACAACCATATGCAACCGAATGCGGTTATCTAAACTTGGGTAATTAATTTAGGTTAATGGGCTTACTAAAATTACGCGTACCTTCAAAGGTGCGGCTGCTGCAATAAAACCGCACTATAACATACTATCGCTGACATTATTCCTTAGGTGCTTTCGTAGTTTTAACAGTTAATAGAAGTTATAAGTTATTATAATTATTTTTGGACCTTACTAGATCCAGCTGACCCGAAAGCAACCGCTTACACTTGTCATGAATAAATTGAATACTAACTAATATAACTAACTAATCGAATCTAAACTAGATAACCAACTTTGTCTACATTTAACTCTTACAGGTTTAATTAACAAGGAAAACTGTGAAGCATTAACGCAAGGAAAATCGTTGAAGGTTATGTATTTATTAAAATTAATTAAAGGATAAAAGTATTTTTAAAAATAATATTAATAGCCGACCAAAAATAACGTAAAAAGGGCGCCAAATTTGGTACAAACGACATTCGGGATTGTCGGCTTCACGGATTAAAAATAGAATATAATATATAATCTTTTTGTTCAATATACATTACAAGAGTACTTATTAAAAGTCAGCTTTACCTGGTTCGAACCACCTCTGTTCTGGGAAGAAGTAGCAAGAAACCTAGCAGGACTTATTTTAAATTAATTTACAATATAGTATTTTTAACAAAGCATGAAAATATTTAGAAACAGCAAAGTAGCGATCGCCTCCTTCCCGGGGGTTGTGTACCCGGATGTACTCTAAAAGAGTTAAGATCTGAACGGTCGCCAAGTTCCATATCAGTTCCAAGAACGTTGTACATTCTTATAAATGCCATAATTTAAGCAACTACTGAGTGTTCTTCAGATTTCTGTTGTTTTATATTTTAATGGGATCTTTATAAAGAATTATATCAAGCAACGAAACTCCGAGCATAGCCCGCTCCACAACTCGCTGAGTGACTCCAGCAGTAGAAAACCATGTTTCGAGTCCATACGTCACTGGCAACAAGCACCGGCAAATAATAAATAAATATGAAAAAATTGTCTTTAGTTTTCTGTGTCTTTGAAATCATAAACGTGATAAAATAATTTCTAAATTACAATATATCACCTGTATGGTACATCAGCAGCCAGGAACACGTAGTTGAGCCCGTACACAGCAGAAAGGAACAATGGCGCTGACAGGAGGCAATAGTTGATCAGGTGGAACTTGCGGTACTGGCCCAGCTCGTGCATCAGCTGATCGAAGTCCAGAGCATTTCCGTTGGCCTTAGTCTCCTTTTCAGCCATTGCCAGAATTTACCAAGCACCACTTAGCAATAATTCTCACCACGTAGGATTGTTCAATAAACCATTTTTATTTAGAATATCACAAAAACTAATGTCACTTAGAGGTAAAATAATTTCGACAGTTAAAAACTGACTTGTCCGTATCTAGTGACTAGCCTTTGCCTGGGTTTATTTAATTTAAAACTAAAATTTATATATTAAAATTGTATTCAATAGCAAACAATTACAAACTAGGAAATGCCATTAAGTAAATTTAAAAAAAAACATTTTATTATATTCTTTGTCAATTTGTTAATGGTTAGTTAGCGTTCATCGTAAACGTATACGATATAATACATTTCGAAGTACACTCGCGAAGTGAAAACATAGGACGAGTGTGAAGTCTGCGTGCGCGGGCGCAACTAATTTGATTACCGATTATGTACAGTCTGCAGGTCACAAAACATGGCATTGGAATAACTTTGATAGATCTATACAGGCAAAAATACGTATAGAATGTGAGAACCGAATTTGATCCCTGCCGGCAACATCGTTAAGTGCTAATTTACCAAGTGCTCGGCGCGGATTATCCTTAATGCAAACTAGGCACCTGCGTACTAACGAACAATACGTGGTACCAACCTTAAATAAATAATTTTTATTTTTGATATTTGCATTATTGTTTTTATCATATGTTAAATATTAAATCCTATGTACACAATTAAATAATAAAAAAACAATAATCTACCAATTGTTTACAATATTTTCAATATACGCATACATGAAGTAAGATCTGTTTCCTCCCGGGGGGGGGGGGGGGGGGATCACGAATTTCCACATTCTATCCCTCTTGCTTTCTTTTACGCGCTTAAAGACAAACAGGTCCTGGCATACCTAATTATTGTGGAGTTATAATTTATTTGTATCGTAGAGGCAGTTTTCAAATATAAATTGCACACGGACAAACATCCAGACCCGGAACAATTATTTGTAGTCCATACAAATACTCGTTCTGCGCGGGATTCGAACCAACGGCCCGCAGCGCTGTAACTCATTAAAAGACACTGCACTACGAAGCCGTCAAAGATCTTGAGGAAATCTGCTCGGGAAATTACATTAGAGGAAAAGGAAAAGGAATTCACATGATGTGGTGACTTCTTCCTTACCCTAAAACCTTTCTAGGGAAGAGAGGAGGCCTGTGCCCAAAAGTGGGATATGTGTTTTTTATGATTTATACTGGACTGGAATAAACAGTAAGGATTTAGCGTGCACCAAAGTTTGTGGAAAATTTCACAAGACACATTCAATCACAGCTGAACATAAACCTACCGCAAGAAACGCCACAGAATAGGGTTCTGAGCCACCTACACTCATCAACTTTTTGCAACTCTTACCAGGTCATCACTTCATTTAATGGGAGTTTCCGTTGCTCATCGTTACGAGGCTACCATTCGAGAAACTTTTTTCCCCATCGGTTATCGGTTCTTCGAGCTATGTCAGCCCATTGTGATTACATAAAATTATACACATGTACATATAGGCCTCCCATTTACAGGGAGGATTTTTCCATAGTTTCTCTTCATAGATGTTCTGTTTTAATTTCTCTCTGTCGCCTCTTACGACACCCACGGGATGATATGAGGTAGTGAATATTTTTACACCGCCACTACACGGTTTTCTTCACTCCTCTAGTGAAGCACGTTCGTTTTTCCTCATACATAATATTGATCACAATCGAGTTTTTTTATGTATCGAATATGGCGGTACTCTCGGCGCGGACTTTCGTATACTATCACGTATGCACCCAAGTACTTGCTGCCTTAAATGGGCCGTCATGGCTTTTCCTTCACATTCGGTTCGTTTGTTCAATCGCTATTGTTACGTTTCCTAAGGAAAAGCTGTTCCTTGGTTAAAACAATATGTCAACTTCGACGTAGAGTTTTCTTTTTATAGTATAAGGTGACAATCGAATACATAGTCCAACAGATGTTAAGTTGATACTGTGGCCCATAGATATATACAGCAATCCTCGGTAAAGAATCAAAATGCAGATGCGTTGCCACATTTGAGGACTAAGGTGCAGTGTCTCGTTTCCAATAAAAAAAAAAAGTCTCCGATTCTCTACACTCACAGTGATTACAATTTTAAGTGCTGATTGACCACGTGCTTGACGATGAAGAGAACCTGAATGTCTGAGAAAAAATATTTCGGGGACATATGAAGACATATGAAGACTGGAGCGCGATTGACGGTTGCTACATCTCTCAGAAATTATAGGAGGCCTGTGTCCACTACTGAGTCTTAAATAGACTGTAACTTTATAAAAATAGTTGTACAAAAGATGTTAAAAACAATTATCTAAGATCTTTGTACACCTGTGAATTGTTATGGTCATAGGTTATGGTATAAAAAAAAGAAGAATAAGCAAATGACGTAAAATAAGTCATTTGTTATTAAGTCTATATATACAAATAAATAAAATTGAAGTGTCTGTTTGTAATATCAAAATAAAAGCTTTTTACTTAATGCATATGAAAGTATTTACGGTGCTTGTAAAATAAAACAATTTTTTAAATTTTTATCTGTCTGTTTGTTCCGGCTAATCTCCTATACAGCTGGACCGATTTTGACGGGATTTTCATTGGTAGATAGCTGATATTATAAGGAGTAACTTAAGCTACTTTTATTTTAGTTAAAGAATAAAGGTTCCGCGCAAATAAATTAAAACTCATGAAATACAATCGGTAAAACAATAAAGATAAAAAATATATGTTTTATAAGAATTGTTATGCTACACATAGATAATAAAAATGATTAATTTGCTAGTAGTGCAAGTGCAAGTATTATCATTATCATTACAGAATATACGAGTAGAATACTAAAAACTTTCCATTTAAGTTATTACAATATTTTTAAATTTCACCTTTTTTGAATACTAGTAATGGATTGATATTGCCTTTGGAATTCCTATACACAAGGGACTAAGGTGCTGCTTATTACAGTACTGTGTTAAATATATGAAACTCGCCTGATTATGACATGTTGAGAGTGGTGATATTAGGTGTACTGCATGCAACTGACGGAGGACGGGTAATGGAGTGAGGTACTCCTCAACCAGGGTAAGTCACATTTGTTCTACTAGCTGTCCCTCGCGGCTTCGCCCGCGTAGAATTTACTACGATTTCAAGGGTTTTAATTTTTTGCGTGGAAAGCTGATTTTTTTTCTAAAATAAAATCCTAAGTTATTTCTTATAACATCAGCTATCTGCCAGTGAAAGTCCCATCAAAATCGGTCCAGCCGTTTCGGAAATTAGCCGCAACAAACAGACAGATAGGCAAAAATGTTAAAAATTGTTTTTTGTTATTAGTACCGTATATACTTTCATATGCATTTAGTAAAAAGCTGTTATTTTAACATTACGAACAAACACTTCAATTTTATTTATTTGTATAGATTATCTAAAACAAAAGCAGCGGTTTACTTAAGGGGAAGCTAGAGCTATACTTTATACCCATTCCTATATTCAAGAATGTTTCGTTTTCCATTCGACCCGTTTTATTATGTGTGATAACATTAAGTCCGACTTTTTTGTACTTGGTGTGCAAATAAAGCTTAAATAAATAGAACGGCTTTTATTTAAAAAATCTGCAACTTAAGATGACTTTTGTTTTGATGGCTGTATATATTTGATATCTTTCATCTCTTCTTTGATGTATAATCCTATTTAACATGACAGAACCACCCTGCTAATAAGGTTTATGGTATTATGGTACCAGCATTGGGGAAAGACCACGATTTCACATAATATCAGATCGCAGCTAATGCTGCTGTGTTTCATATGGTCAGTGAAGAGAATGTGAATCTCTGTTTAGTGATAATGAGGCATTCTATCGAACCAGTAAGCGAAGTATAGGCTGGTCTCTCACAAGATAGAGTAACAAATTGGAAAGAGATGAAGGTCCTCCACCTTTGATTAGTTGTATTCTTTAGGAGAGGCCTATGTTCAACTGCGAAATTGTGAATGGCGATAATGAGACATTGTAACTTAGTTTTCAGGAATGACAACGCATCATATTTTGATTCTTAATCGAGAATAGAAATAGGTGTCTATCCTCGATTCTTCTATCTATTTCTGGGCTACAGCCTCCATGTACCATCAGGTAGACTGTATGCTGTTTAGTCTGTACTATTCTATTCCTAGTATTCTGTGTGAGCGTAGTAAAGCTTACGCTCGAGCCGACTCTTTCTTACTTCTACAGCGTAGCTATGTCAACTAAAAATGAGATTGTCAATCAAATATTCAAGCTTGATATGGAAAATTCTTAAAAAATGTGTGGCGTGTTATATAATAGTAACGCAGTATTTTTCTATTAAAAAACAACTAAAAATATTTTAAACAAAAATTGTTTAGTAGTTATACTACTAAAGTGTACATGACTGAAAAAAAAAAAGAATGAGGTGATCGCTACCATGCTGTTTCGAAATGTTTTCGTACTTAAGTGTATAACATATATTGTACATTTTTTTTGCCACGCTGGGTTTCTTGCTGGCTCTTCTCAGGACAGAGGTGTTTTTCCGAACCAGTGTTAAATGACTTTCAATAAGTAAACTTGTAATATAGGTATATTGAATAAAATAATTTTATTCCATTTACTGTTTTAAACCTGATTATAATGACGGTAAGCCAATCGTTGGAGACACTTTAGTCGTCGACTACACACAGTGAAACATTGGAGTGTGCTTACGAAATGAATGTCACCTCGTCCTTCGAACGGCATGACATCGGTTATTAACATATTGCAGTTTTGTGTATTTGCATAATAAACTGTACTTTTATATGTTATTTATTATGTTATTTACTAGATAGAGATATTTTGGGTCGTAATTTAAAAAATATTATGTAGTTCGTATAGTCCTGATTTTCTTTTCTTTCTGGCTATTATTGTCTGATTCATTCATCACATTTTATGTATGTTGTAAATTTAAATTTGACTCCATTTTTAATGCTTGTATTTGTGCTATATCCTTTAAACGGCAATGGATTACATTATTGTATTTCTATTACTGAGAACCTGTTATTGGCTTTTTGTAATCAAACATGATACTTACTTAAGATTTGTAAACTGTTGGTTATCCATAACGTAAAAATAAAATATAATAAAATTATTTGGCAGACTTTTTTACGTGGTAGAGCCAAGCTGCTGTTATATTGTGGTTGTAATACGAATGGGTCGTCTTGACCGGGAAAGGACCACGCTATCACAGAATAGTAAAGAAGTTCTCTGATTGTCTACACTCACTATACGAAACACGGCAGCATTGAGATGGTATTTTCCTGTTCCGAAAACTTATTGATCAATCTAGTAAAATAGAACTGGACTCGTGACTAACTTCACACTGGCAACCAAGTAAAGGTAACATTA